CTTAGGAACATTAGTTGCCTACATTGCCACCACGAGTCATGGAACTCTCCACTGTTGAAAACAGTGTCTTTTATTAGTGGACACACTATTTGTGTGAGTGGGACTTTCAATGGTTACACCTTTCTCATTGGCAGCTCTTCTTAGTTGCTGTCGTAGATAGGTGTTAACGTCTGCTTTATGTATCCCATGACGAGAGGGGTCGTAATTGCGGACTCAGTGACGTCGATCTTCTACTCCTCCCTAGTAGTACTCTACTCCGTCAGGCTTCAGTTAAAACAGTTGAGTATCTTAAGGTTTCAAATACAGACAGCTAGTTTCGTTGACAGAAATACCAGTTTTCCAAAAGCCAATGCTGTGTTCTGCTCTATGTAAGTATACAATTACGACCGATCTATTATATCTCCTGGATAGGGAGTGTAAGAAGGTGCAATGACAGACTTTCTCCACCCATGCGATCAACTCGAACTGTGCTTTTAAGTTACAACATACGTGGTCATTACGTATTCAGGGTATTCACAACGTCCTGCTTCATTCCTTTTTGTTATACCTTATGCTTTGATGCGTGCTCCACATCAATAAATCGATATCGTGCCATTGATTTTGATCGTAGCCGTACACGTCTTATTTTCAGATGAAACGTGAGCCGTCACCAAAACCGATTGAGACACCATCCGTGCCCCCGTTGAATCTTCAGGCGATGATGCAACAAATGCAACACGCGAATCCTTTTCAGTTCATGGATCCAGCAGGAATGATTTCAGGTTAGTTCCTCAGATTGGTGATTTACTCAATTACTAGTCATCAGCAGTGCTGTTAGACCTGGTTGTCTTTTTGGCTTGAGCTCAGCTTAAACATAACTTGAACTCAAGAAAATAGCTACTGTAGTAAATACAAGGTTAAACAGTAATGTTGGGAGCTGTCTTCAGTTAGGTTTCTGCTCTGATAAAGATCTCAGATCTGAAACTAACTGAAAGGTCCAAACGTCAAAATCACCGCGAAACTACGCGGCTGCGAACTCTAGAATTAAAGCTATACGAGGGCATGGTCATGTGGGTGGAGTCAACCGGACAGTTTCGCTCCCCTGATTGGTGCGTTATTTCTCGCACTTGTTCAAGTGGCTCCGCCCACACGAGTTGCGTAGAATTTGCTTTGATCGAGACACAAAGAGGACAGATGTAGATGTCGAACGAGTCGCCTCTTCTTCACCTAAATTAAGACCTTTAATAATTATCGGCACCTGGAAACCATGTATCTCCTTACGTTGGTAGGGTGACCCACGTCGTGGGTAGCGCCTTTTGATCGAGCAAGCACTTACCGCTAGCTGTTCGCGTCTTCCGTTCCTTGGCTCGAGCATTCTGGAACCACACTTGGACCACTCGCTTGTGCAGACCGATCTCTCGACCCAGTGCTTCGCATTCCGTCATCGACGGAGTCTTGTAGTCACCAAAACGCTCTTCATCACCTGAAAGTCCTATTGAATGGAAGGTCTTTGTTACTGCATGATCATTCGAGGGGTTCTGTAGCAAAAACAGCAATTTTGCTGCCATTCGTGAGCATTGACTACTGTAAAAAGATACCAACTACAATGTGCTGTTGTACTGACTTTATGATCCCGGAGATGGTAGGGGCGCGGGCTGCGTATTATGAGTGTGTGGTGCTGCGCTCCGTTAAAAGAACGGTATTTGGCTTCTCTTGGACAATTTGGTGAGATAATTTTCATTTGTGGGGCACTTTGTGGTCAGTCCTTTCCGACACAGAGCGGATGATAGTCTTCTCAAATGTGAATATCTCATGCTCTGTTCGAACACAGCACGCCACGCCCTCTCAATTTCCTGGATATAGATTGTACATGTTTCGCTGATCTGGAGTGCAGCGGGGTTTCAAGTTTCTTGTCGCTCAAGCCGCATTGCCGACGCATGCGTCGAGACTGCTGCTTCACCCGCTTGACAGACATCTCATGTGATCCAAATGAAAGAGTTCCCTGCGAGTGGCTCCCCGGAGGAGCGCAGTTCCGCCGACCCAGAGAGGAGGCTCCGCCCCCAGTCCCTCGACGGAATGGATCAGGATTGCCCTGCATTGGACTCGAAATTTTCACTGATGCTCCGGTATCGCTGGAAGAAGGCCTTAGATTTGTGCAGGAAGTCCTTGGCATGAGGAGCTTTTCGACGTCGGAGCAACTCCCTGACTCTCAGGCTCCTATTTAAATTAACTTTGCGAGTCCAAACTCACATGAACTTGAGTGGGTGTGAGATGAGTACGGTAGCGCTTGTTACTGGTTGGTGATCGAGACTGTGACGAGCCACCAGCATAAGAGGCAGAAGTTTCCTCAATGAACTCCGTTGGATCATCATCCGATTGGCCAAGGAACGGCGACATTGATAGCGTGTCACGTCTGCAAGAACATTTTAATTGGTAAGGTTACCGTAGCCGTGATAAATCTCAATGAAAACTCACTCTTGAGACGCATTGCTCAGATCAAGCGCACCGGCAAGGTCTTTGGTCTCGGTGGTGTTGGTGGGAGGAATGAGTACAGGAACCTGAAGAGGAACCGAGATATTCTGTCGAGGGCCAACCGTAGACGACGTCGTGACGCTTACATCTTCTGCATTTGGCAGGAGATCGATATCGACTGGGGTCACCGAATGTTGTTGTGGATGCCGTGCAGGAATGTGCTCTTGAAGTGACTGACGGCTTCGGAACAACAGGCCACAAAACGGGCATCGCTTGTGAAACGTGGACGATGGTGGGGTGTTCGCCGATTCACACTGAAAAGTATAACGGACTTCAAAAATCCCGAAAGACTGGGTGGAAGTTCCTTACCAGTTTCAGAAGCGCTTCAGTGCTCGATTTACTCGCACCGAGGAGTTTCGCTAGATCGGCCGGCTTTGCATCGTTGATGCTGGCGAGAGCTGTCTGCTGGATGAGCTGCGCCTTCTCCTCGTCCGTGAGTGATTCCTCAACGACCTGAAAGCACGAGCATTAAGCCAGCTTCGTTCCCCCCAAAAATACATACAAACCACAACCGACCTTGTTATCATTCGCCTGCGCCTGACAATCATCTTTATAGCACTTTTTCTGTTGGTGTTGTATGAGCTCATAATAACGTTGGAAGACTAGACTGCACCTGAAAAAGTAGCGCTTCAGGGGATCGTTATGTCGGATAAAGGGATATTACACAACATTGATCACCCTCAGAAATGCGCTGTGCAAATGAGATCCATTTCATGAGAATCAGATGGGCGG